GACACTTCGAGAACCCTCACTGTAGGCCGAGCCAGTGGCAGGCAGGCCAAATGGAGTGATAGTTTGGTACGCAGAGCAGGGCTGATTATATTCATTTCTTCCTATGGAAGACCCGAACAGACTGGGAGCAGGTTCATGGTGATCTTTGGAGCAGAACCTGTGTTTGTTTCCTTTGTCATTGTTGCATTGTTCAGATACCCTTCCCAGTCATCTGTGCATGATCTTTCCGTCTACCTTCATTTCAAGTGTGTAGTTTGGGAAAGGCCTTGCTGTCGATCCTAAGCACTCTTGTGCATTGCAGGTCATTCATTCAACAAATATTTGTTGAGTTTTTGTAGTATGCAGGGTGTTCTGCTGGGCACTGAGGATAAAGTAGGGAACAAAGTAGGTAGCTCTTTTGTTCTTGTGGACTGTACATTTAAACAGTTAATTAAATAAAATACTATTTATTTATAACTGTGATTAAAAGTTCTTATGGTACAGGATGTTATGAGCATATAGTGGGGTAACAGTCTTTACTAATCAGTCTTTACTCAGGGAGGCTTTTTAAAATGAAGTCATGTTTGGGTGTTCTGTGCTAAAGGATGAGTGCAGTAATAGAAGTGCTTCGTTTGGTTAAATTGTACTTAGGTGGGGATCTTGTCATCTTGTCTGTGACTCAGAAAGAAAAGTAAGAAAATGGAAGAATCATCCCTGAACAGTGATCTCAGTTGAGGGGAGGAGCGCTGAGGGTTTGGAGATAAGTACTGATTATCTTCTTTCTGAGACATTGTGGAATTCAGTGGAAGTTCCATGACAATGAGAAGCTTATACCACGAGCCAGTACTTCTCAAGTTTTAAAGTACACACAAATGGGCTAAGGGTCTGGTGAAAATGGAGGCTTAGATGAAATAGGTCTGGGATGGGTCCTGAAATAGCTGTTGCTGTTCTGAAAAGCTCCCAGTGACAAGGATGATACTGGTCCATGGACCACACTTGGAGTAGCAGGACGATGATTACACATAATCAGATTTCAGTAGGAATATCGGCTGGACAAGAGGCTGGATGAATATTCTAGAAGTGGGGTGGAGTCGGGAGAGGTATTTGATAACAGAGAAGATAGCAGTTTGGTGTGAGAAGTATCATGCTACATACTGAAAGCCAAAAGCACTTCACAGCTGCTCTTACAGAGAAGACAGGAAAGCTGGGGATGGAGATAGATGGCCACCAGCACAGCCAGTGAAATCTTCTACAGAGTCATTTCTGTGGTGAGGACCAAGTGAACTAAATGGCCATTAGTCTGCCTAGGGAAAAGGTCAGGTACTGAGGATTGATGGCCACACCATGGTAATTATGTGGGCTCCAGAAAATGATCTAAATGACAGCAGCTAGTGGTACTAAAGAGAAGGTGCACTTTACTCGGAGAAAGAAAAATGTTCAGTACCTCTTCTCATTAATCGTAGATGACTAATCCATAGCTGAAGAATATTGCCAAATAGATTCAGGTTAAAAGTGGTTGTAAATGGCAAGGGTAGGAATAGAATGAGGGAGGGGAAAGAATCTTATAGTTAATAGCCACTTTGAAGGAATCACCACCATTAAGACTAATCATTGCATGTGTCTCTTCTTAATTTCATGGGCATCCAAAACAGAACCTTGTAAGACCATCAAGAGACCTTATTGGTCTGCCCTTGTTTCATTATATTATTATGGAAAATATCTTTTCATTGTAGTTATGCTTTAAGTTTTTGTTCAAGATATTTTATAGTTATTCATAAATGCATTTGGGTCAAAGAAAGTAACATCAAGTTATGAACCATGTTGTGAATGGTATGTCTAAAAATACTTTATATTTAATCACATTCTCTTCATGGTTTAAAAGAAGTATTTTAGAATGCTATAATGGCTTAAAACCTAACTTTCTCTTTCCGCTAGAATATCTTTTTGGATTTGGTTAAATCTTATGACCGTCAGAACATGGAAGGAAAGGAATTAGGTTTCTACACTGTTAAGCAGTCATTTTAGATTACTTGTCTTTTAACTTTTTTTGCATGTACCTATAGAAGGATAATAAGCATAACTTACTGATGCAGGGGACTAAGTGAATACAGAATTAGGCAACTGTCTTTTTTTTTTTTTTTTTAAGATTTTATTTATTTGACAGACAGAGATCACAAGTAGGCAGAGAGGCAGGCAGAGAGAGAGAGGAGGAAGCAGGCTCCCTGCTAAGCAGGGAGCCCAATGGAGGGCTTGATCCCAGGACCCCGGGATCGTGACCTGAGCCTAAGGCAGAGGCTTTAACCCACTGACCCACCCAGGAGCCCCCAGGCAACTGTCTTAAACTTTCTAAAACCTTGAAGGCAGAAATGAAATCAGTAGAATTCAGTACTAGTCCTAAAGTAAAATCAACTTTTTTTAAACGTGAGTAAAGGATTATTTGTTTTATATATATTTAAAAGTGTGGTGAAACATATAATGTAAAAATTCAGCGTCTTAACCACTTTTAAGTGTACAGCTCAGTAATAATACGTATATTCACATGAATGTGCAGCTAAGCTCTAGAACTCTTTTTGGAAAATTGTAAAATCTAATTTGTTCATTAGATTGCCTCTTGATTTTTAGAGGCAGGCCCACCTAAAAGGGGAGTCTGAGGAAAGTTGAGGCTATGGCATATGGCTGTGAAAGGTCAAGTTTCCTTAGATATCTGTGCTTCTAAACTGTGACTCAGTAAGATCTGGGTGTCAAGGAACATGAAAGTATGAAAGCAGTTTTGGGTTTTGTTTTTTTGTTTTTTGTTTTTTTTTTAAGAAATGAAATACAGAAAAAGGAACTCTCTTGAAGTCACATACTTGAAAAAGAATAGTCATTGTTACAAAGATGATCATTTCTGTATTGCCTTCAGTTTAAATGACTAGGTTACTAAAAAGTATTCAATAGGCTGGCATTCTTTGGATAATGCTCTCTAAACAGTGCAACAGAATGTTGCCTGCTAGCCTGGGATCCTGCCGTGCCTTGGGAGCGCTGGGAACAGTTGGTAGGACTCTCCTTTGTCCACCTGGGGAGTGGGGATGACCACACAAGATGATGTCCTCAGCGTATCTCAGTTACCTCCTCAGGGGCAGCCCCGTGGGTAAAAGTATTCAGTTGGAGAAGTAAAAACATTTCCATGTGTGCCATTTCTTAAATGCCTCAGAAACAGGGATTAGAGGCTATTATCACTTCTTTAAAACCTAGAAACAGTTCTAGAGACAAGGACAAACCTCTCAGTTTGAAAGCTAAGCAGCTTGGAAATCTAGTTTGAAATTAGATTTGTGTTCCTGAATGCCTATGTGACTCAGTTCTTCCTTCTAGTAAGATACGCCTTGCTCTCCACTGGATCAGTGATGGATTCTTAATGGGGAGAATGAGGGCTCCGTCTTCGTCTGACTAATGAGTCTAGTGAGGTGGGACTTGGAATGCAAACCTGTTTTCTTCTGGTTTGCCTTGGGTGCCTTGACTGTATAGCAAACCTCTTAATCGAAACTTATTGTCAAGCCCTAAGAAGTTCTATCAAGAGTTAATATTAGAGGGGCACCTGGGTGGCTCAGTGGGTTGGGCCTCTGCCTTTGGCTTAGGTCATGGTCTCAGAGTCATGGGATCGGGCCCCGAATCGGGCTCTGTACTCAGCGGGGAGCCTGCTTCCCCCCCCCCGTCTCTCTGCCTGCCTCTCTGCCTACTTGTGATCTTTCTCTCTGTCGAATAAGTGAATGGAATCTTTAAAAAAAAAAAAAAAAGTGTTAGTATTAGAAACTACCCCTAATTGCAAATAATGTCTCATTATGCTACTGTATCATTGAGGGTCATACCGGTCTGTTCTTGACATCTTTTTACCCTGTGGCTTTAGAGGGCAAAGAAAGAATCCTCAGTGCTGGGTCTTGCTTTTGTTGTCTGCCGCCCACCAAGTTTATCAATTTTTTTTGTAGCTTATTTTAATATACTTAATCATGATTTATTAAAATCTTGATTTTGTTGTCGGTGGTGTATATTCAGACAGCTAATATAAACACATCAGTATTGGAATGTTTGTATTACAAAGCAGCATACAAGGCTCTGGCCCAGATCAAAGTGAATTTTAGGTATTTCCAATCTATATCTAAGAAAACCTTTTTTTATTTTTTAATGCCTAAACTTAATCTGCTCCAGAATTGACTGGGTTAAGGACATAGAATTAGGGGCTTATTAGTAAGGGGCTTATTAATCTGAAGTCTTCTATTTATCTATTGTATAACTCATGAACTAGAAATATGGACTTCGAGATTTTAATCCATGTCCTTACCTTGTTTTGAGCTACCTGTTTGGCGTATCAAAGTCTGCTTCTACTTAACGTAAATCCAGAGGGAGCTGGAAGCACACATTTACATCTTAGCTAGAGCAAGGCTGGGGTACTTAGGATTGTTTCCTTTAATGCACACAACCCATGGTAGTAATTGGCAACTGCTCCCTAAGTTAGTTTCTATTTGCGGAAGTCATTTGGTTTTTGTTTGGTTAATGCAGGTGAATACTACATGGAAAGGCAAGGGGAGAAAAGAGGAAAAAAAACAGAATCCTTCAAGCATGTAGGGATGTGCATCAAGAATTTCAAAGACTCTTCACACAGATGTAGGGGGGAGGGAAACAGCAAATTCGAAGCTTTTCAACCATGACATTTTCTTCTAATGAAGAAGAGCTGGAAAGCTGTAATTTTGAGAGTGTTGCAGTATTTTAAATCAGACACTTAGTACATTTTAAAATAGTGGTGAAATGTAAAATTTCTTTCCATCTTAAATAGAATTAAGCATTTGTGGTCATCATCTTACTTTGATAGTTGTGGGTCTCAGAGTGAAAGCCAGAGCTTCTAAAATTTAGGTGGCTTACGGAAACATCTCTACCTGTTTTCATGGTATATGAAGATATTTTTGGTCTCTTAACGAAAACAGTGCGTTTTCTTTTTCTAGTCCTTCGCCAGTGACCTTGAATTAATTCTTTATTTTTATGCATTGCAGTACATTTTTATACCTGAAATTCCTGGTAGTGTGGGCGCTTGTCCTCCTGGCAGATTTTGTCCTGGAGTTCAGATTTGAATACCTGTGGCCGTTTTGGCTTTTCATCAGGAGCGTCTATGATTCCTTCAGATACCAGGGACTGGTATGTTTATTAATACATTTTTCAAGTATAAGGGGTTTAATTTTCTAAGAAAATCTTCAGTAGCTGATGATTAAAAATAAAAAACAAACTGCGATCAAATCATTATACACCCCCTCCCCATCTCTACCATTCCAGTGAAAAGAAGGGGAGGGCCAAAGACCTTAGGAGGGAAACAGAGTAGTGAAGGAAGCAATAATTACCCAGTCCTACTCTGAAGTATTTCTGGAGCCTTATCACTGTGTCAGTGATTGGGTTAGAGTTAGAGCAGTGGTTCTCAAACTTTGTGGTCTCAGAGCCCCGTTAAAGTCTTAAAAACTACTGAAGATTTCAAGGAGCTTTTATTTATCTGGGTTTGATCTCTCCATATTAACTGTATTAGAAATCAAAACTGAAAACAAATTTAAATGTTTGTTAATTCACTTAAAAATAATAAGCCTATTGCATGTTAATGAAAATTACATTTTTATGAAAAATAACTGTTTTTCAAAACAAAAAAATTAGAAGATTTGACCACATTTTTGCAAATGTCTTTAATGTCTGGTTTAATGGAAGGCAGCTGCATTTTCATATCTGCCTCTGAACTTGGTGGATTGCAAAATCACATATCATGTAGCTTCTCAAAAAAGCCACCTTACTCCTGAGTGAATGAACATGAAAAAGGCATATAACATCTTAATGTTGTTATGAAAATGGTGTTGACCTGGAAGACTCACTGAAAGGATCTCAGAGACTCCCCTGCTGCCCCTGGGAATCCCCAGACTATGTTTTGAAAACTACTGGGTTAGAGCAAGAGCACAGGCCTAGGCTTGTTCCCCTGGTTGACGTGCAGTTCTCTTATGTTCCATGGCGACACCTTAAACCTGGAACTCTTCTACTCAGAAATCCAGATCCTCAAAAAGATAGCTTCAGGCTCATGGCTTCTTGGGGAATACCCAGTGGTGTGTCCAGAGAAAGGCTGCATTATTAAAATCCTTAACATCAGCCTAATTCTTACTATCATGATTCACTTGTGCTCCAACAGCCTGTTCTTTAAGAATGAGGCTCTTTAGGAATGTTTTAGGAGGAGAGAGGAGGCTTTTCTGTGTTAAAGTTCTAGTTGTTCTAGGTAACCCACCTGGGGAGTCCAAATGAACTCACTGCGACCCAACGTCAGCCTGTCCTGGTCCAGTTCTTCATGACTGAGGACATAAATAGGATTACTTTTTAATATTGAATTAACCTCTGTTTTTTACATGGCGGCTTTTAAATGTTTAAACTTGCTCTATAGTTCTTGCATGGCAGTTTCAGAGATTTTGTCCAACATGCTTTTAATAATCTGTTTGAAATAACAAGTTCTAAGATGTGTTTTTAATTTTGTTTTGTTTTTTCCTTTAGGCCTTCTCAGTATTTTTTGTTTGTGTAGCATTCACGTCAAATATAATATGTCTGCTGTTCATCCCCATACAATGGCTTTTTTTTGCTGCTAGCACATATGTATGGGTTCAGTACGTATGGCACACAGGTAAGTCTTAATGGCTTCTTAGACGGATAGAAATCTTAGATTCAAACTTTTTTAATGTAGTGATTTCATTGAATACATTATTTAGAGTTGAGTTTAATATGGACTTTTTTTTTTAAGATTTATTTATTTATTTATTTATTTTTGTATGTGTGTGCACGAGAGAGAGAGAGAGAGAGAGAGAGAAAGCGCACGTGCGCAGTTGACCAGGGAAGGGACTGAGGGAGAAGCAGGCTCCCTGCTGAGCAGGGAGCCCAATGCAGGACTTGATCCCAGGACCCTGGGATCATGACCTGAGCTGAAGGCAGATGCTTAACTGACTGAGCCACCCAGGTGACGATGTGGACATTTTTAAGTGGTCTTTTCCTAATAGATGATGCCTCTAAAATATATTTTATATTTTTTCATTACTGAATGAAAAGTTTAAGCCTTTTTGATTTGACATCTCGATTGTAGACATTTCGATAACCAATTCTCATTATGAAAATACTCTTTTTTTTTTTTTTTAAGTTGAAGTGATTTCTATTTAGGTAGACTCCGAGACAGCCATGTTCCACATAGAAAAAAATGTTCCTGGAGTTTCAGCTTTGAAAGGAATGTTTGAGGTCATTTAGTTGAACCCTTATTTGGTATAAGAATCCCCACAGCATCCCTGACACATAGTGGTTTAGTCTCTGATTGAAAGGCTACAGTGGGGACGCCTGGGTGGCTCAGTTGGTTGAGCAGCTGCCTTCGGCTCAGGTCATGATCCCAGCATCCTGGGATCGAGTCCCACATCGGGCTCCTTGCTTGGCGGGGAGCCTGCTTCTCCCTCTGTCTCTGCCTGCCATTCTGTCTGCCTGTGCTTGCTCTCTCTCTGACAAAAAAAAAAAAAAAAAAAAAGAAAGGCTACAGTGACAGGGAACTCAGTTTTCGGGGCCACTGTAATAGAAAGTTCTTCCTCATACTGAGCCAGAATTTTCTTCCTTAACACTTTTGACCCAGTACCTCTTGACTGTTTTGGGGGGGCTTGTTTATCTCGTAGAGGATGTAAGGAGGCTTTCCCCCACAAGTATAGGGAAGTATACAGAGCTTTTCCTTCAGATTCAAGGGGTCTCCAGATCATCCCCTCAAGCTCCAACACTGCATCCCTACATTAGAGCCACACCAAAGGAGTGTGGAAACCATGGTTAACATTTCTGTAGGGATTTAAAGCACTGTCCTATCCTCTCAGGCCCTCTTGTCTGTAGGCACAACATCTCTGGTTTCATCAGCTTTGACTTGTATGTTATTTGAAAGACTTTCAGCATCCTGATCTCTCTAGTTCTTAATGGTTCTCTTCACCAAATGCACTGTTTCTGGTATGTTCTGACTGGAGTAGAGCCACACAGTACTCTCCATTCTTCCTAAAGCTGCACTTCTACTGTCTCAAACCAAGATGAGATGAGATGTTTTCATAGCTCCAGTCCACTGTGAAAGCCTGAGTGGGACGCATGGGGACGTGCGGACTGGCTCTCAGAGTGTTATGCTTCTTTGCAAAGCTGCATGAAACTTGATGCTTAGGCCCGGATGCAGCCTGTAGGATTGACCACTGAGGGAGTACCAGCTCATAAAAGCTCTCTGGAGCAGCATTCCTTCTCTTCTCAAAGGTGCTGAGAGGCTGATGTTGGCCCATGTAGAAGGCACAGGTCAGCTCTGTTATTTGAAGTACCCACTGTGAGCATGGGTTTCTCCCTCTTAGCATGCTCTCATATCTGACTTGATTTATAAGCTAACACAACAGTTTCTAAGTCTGCTTTCCTCTAATTAAAGTGATTTTTTTTATACTTTAGTTTTTCCTTGTATTTTCTTGTCCTGGGTCTTCGTTTCAAGTGAGTTGCCATCTACACTTGTCATTCTGTGTAGGTCTTAGTTTCTTCTTCTCCTTCTTCTTCTTCTTCTTCTTCTTTTTAAGATTTATTTATTTATTGGGAGGGGGGGCAAGAGGGAGAGAAAGAATCTCTAGGAGACTCGACCCTGAGATTATGACCTGAGCCCAAATCGAGAGTCACCACCTAACCTTCTAAGCCACGCAGTCACCCCATCAGTTTCTTCTTTGTCATAAGAAGGTGGAATAATCTAGATAATGTCTAGGGGAACCTTCCAGCTCAACAATCCATGACTCTGATGACCTATAATGATTTCCTAAATTACTTTAATAATGTCTTAGTAGTTTGGAAAAAACAACTCCTATAACTATTAACAGAACCTATTGGGAACGAGTGCAGTGGGTGACCCACAGGGCAGCAGTGAAGCTAATATCATGAGTGATACTGGCCTCTCTTTAGCCCTAGGCTCAGAAATGTTGGAATAGCTAAGTTGTGAAGTATGTTTTTTTTGTTTTGTTTTGTTTTGTTTTATTTGACAGGCAGAGATTACAAGTAGGCAGAGAGGCAGGCAGAGAGAGAGAGAGAGAGAGAGAGAGAGAGAGAGGAGGAAGCAGGCTCCCTGCTGAGCAGAGAGCCCGATGCGGGGCTCGATCCCAGGACCCTGGGATCATGACCTGAGCCGAAGGCAGAGGCTTTAACCCACTGAGCCACCCAGGTGCCCCTGTGAAGTATGTTTTAATTTGGAATGATTAGTGCTCAAATAAACGATTAGCGCTCAAACAAAACAAAGCAAACTTTGTGTTCTTATTGGGCCAGACAAATATAAGTACATTTTATATAATTTGGTATTAATTTCTCTTACCACTTGTTAAAATTTAAAATTCATAAGTTAATTAGGAATTGCTGATGAAATTATTTATTACAACAAAAGAATGATTATATCATAAACTTCCTTGCTATGAAGAGGGAAAAAAACAGAATATGAAACCGGATGTACAACATGATTCACTTGCTCAAAAATATTTTCTACATGATTTGATTATTTGATAAATGTAGAAATAGGTATTTTGTCTAAAAATTTTTTTTCTGTAATGTGCTTATTATGTATATGATAACTTTAGAAATTAATATAGGGAGTTAGAGAATATAAATTTTTGAAAATGCATTTTGAAATGAATTTGAAAATGTCTTATCCTAGGGGTTGCTGTTTGTCTTTGTATACTGTGAAAATGCCCCTTTTTTTTTGTATGTTAAATCTGTAAGAATGGTTGAGGCCATTTGCTGCCTTCACAGAGCTTTTACCATTTTCTATACTGCAGGGATTAGGCCTAAGGGGACTTAAGTTCTCCTTAGGAGCAGACCCAGTATTATCTCTGTGAACTTGGACCCAATTTGCGTAAACTCTGGGCCTTACTTTACTCTTCACTATGATAAGGAGTTCTTCTTTGTAGTTCTTCTTTGTAGTTCCAAGATACTATGGTTTTTCTTTTGTTTTATCCCAAAGATCCTTAGTAAAAAGCCATTTAGTTCTTCAGATTACTGATTTCCCTCCCCTAACTCCCTGTTCTCTCCTTTATAACTCGCTTGCCTTAAATAGTCTCAGAGGATCTCTTTCCACAGTTACTGGACCTCATGCTTATGTAGTCCATCTTCATTTAAAAAAAAAAAAATCCCATTATTAATCATGTCCTGACACAGATAGACCTAGCCTACAGATTTTGATTCTAAAAATTAATGGAAATTACCTCATTATTTTTATCTTATTTATTCTATATTGCAAGTTGCATTTTCCTCCCTTGAAAATTGTTTTTATTTTTATTTTTTTAAGATTTTATTTATTTGTCAGAGAGAAAGAGACAGAGAACATGCACAAGCAGGGGGAGTGGCAGGCAGAGAGAGAAGCAGGCTCCTTGATGAGCCCGGAGCCTGATGGAGGGCTGGATCCCAGGACCCTGAGATCATGACCTGAGCGGAAGGCAGACACTTAATCAACTAAGCCACCTAGGCACTCACAAAAATTGTTTTTAATTATAAAAGAAATGTAAGCTTACAGTTAAGAATAAAAAATTTCTAGAACGGGGTGCCTGGGTAGCTCAGATGGTTAAGCATCTGCCTTTGGCTCTGGTCATGATCTCCAGGTCCTGGCATTGAGCCCCTGTCTGTCCATCTGTCTGGCTCCCAGCTCAGTGGGGAGGCTGCTTCTCCTTCTCCCAATGCCTCTCCCTCTGCTTGTGCTCTCTCTCTCTTACTCAAATGAATAAATAAAATCTTTAAAAAAAAAAAGTTGTAGAACAGAAATTAAATGTCAGAAACATTTCTTTGTGCAATAACTTATTCTCCAGAATTTATTTTTTTTACATATCATGTTAGTGCAGATCATTCTTTGAAAAGCTGCATCATATTTCAGTATACAGACTTATCAAACAGTTCTCTGTTGATACACATTTAAAATGATTCTACATTTTTTTGCTATTAGAAATAATAATATAGTGGGGTGCCTGGGTGGCTCAGTGGGTTAAGCCTCTGCCTTCGGCTCAGGTCATGATCTCAGGGTCCTGGGATCGAGCCCCGCATCGGGCTCTCTGCTCAGCAGGGAGTCTGCTTCTCCCTCTCTCTCTCTCTGTCTGCCTCTGCCTACCTGTGATCTCTGTCTGTCAAATAAATAAATAAAATCTTTAAAAAAAAAAAAGAAATAATAATATAGTGAGTACTCTTATACATTTATTCCAGGGCTTTTTTTTTTTTTTTCCTGTAGAGTAGATTCCCAGAATTGGAATTTCTGGGTCAGATGTATAAGATTTTAAATTTAATTATACTGACAAACTGTCTTCTTAAAAATGTTGCCCCACTTTATATTTTTGCCAAGTATGAGAATGAGCCCTTTGCCTTACTCCCTATATTACCTGTCTTTTAAATTTTTGCTTTATCTGATAGGCTAAAAAAATGGAATCTCTTTTTTGAAACATTTGTATCTCCCTAATCAGTAGTGAAGTTGGACATCTTTTCATATGTTTTTAGCCATCTATATTTTTCTTTTATAATTTTCAAATTCTTTTTTTCAGTTGCCTTTTTATTGATTTGTAGGAGCTCTTTGTATGGTTGGGCTATGACTCCTTTCTTTTACATACTGTAAATATTTTTTGCCAGATGTTTGTCTTTTATTTTTGTCTGTGATTCCATCGCTTCTTCTTTTTTTTTTTTTAATTTTTTTAAGATTTTATTTATTTATTTGATAGACAGAGATCACAAGTAGGCAGAGAGGCAGGCAGAGAGAGAAGAGGAAGCAGGCTCCCTGCTGAGCAGAGAGCCCGATGCGGGGCTTAATCCCTGGACCTTGGGATCATGACCTGAGCAGAAGGCAGAGGCTTAACCCACTGAGCCACCCAGGCGCCCCTCCATCACTTCTTTTGTCAGATAGAAGTTTTCAGTTTGGATCATGTTCCTTTTTTTTTTTTTTAAATGTGTTTATTTATTTTTGGAGAACGAGCTAGAGTGTGGGGAGCAGGATAGAGGGAGAGGGAGAGACAATCTCAATCAGACTCTGTGCTGAGCGCAGAGCCTGACATGGGGTTTGATCTCTCGCCCTGAGATCATGACCTGAGCCAAACTCAGCATCGGACACTTAACTGACTGAGCCACCCAGGTGCCCCTGGATCATACTGTTTTTTAATTAGTTTGAAAGTCTTAATGAAAGTTACTCTAGTTGAGAGAACAAAGTGATGGTTGCCAGAGGGAAGGAGTATAGGGGGAGGGGCCACATGGGTGAAGGGGAGTGGGAGGTACAGGATTCCAGTGATGGAATGAATGTTGCAGGAGTAGAAGGCACAGCATAGGGAATATAGCCAATGATATTGTAATAGGCTTATGTGATGACAGATGGTAAGTACACTTGTGGTGAGCACAACATAACATATAGAGAAGTTGAATCACTATGTTGTACACATGTAACTGATGTAACATCGTGTGTCAACTCTACTCAAAAAATAAGAAAGCTACCGTAGTTGAACTTGTCTCCGAAACAACCCATCTGTTATGTTAGTTTAACGTATCACTGATGCTTGTCTCTCTACTGCTTTCCCACAGAAAGGGGAGTGTGTTTGCCCACAGTGTCCCTCTGGATACTCTTTGTTTATATTGAAGCAGCAATTAGATTTAAAGATCTCAAAAATTTTCATGTAGACCTTTGTCGTCCATTTGCTGCTCACTGGTAAGTATTATGTGTGTTCTTAATCTGTAAGTCAGTTCAGTGCGTTCAGTGTAGAATGGTAAGTTCAATTATAAGTTTTTTCTTAGAGCTTTTACAAGAAGACAACGTAACATAGTGGTAAAGAGCCGTGAGCCCTCTTTTCAGGCAGATGAGAACCCCGGCTCCTTCCCCTCACAGAATTGTTGCCTCAAACCTGTCATCCTCTCTAAGCCTTAGCCCTCTCACCCACGTATTAGGAACCTGTCTTGTGGGGTCATGGGAAAGAGGAAATGAGGGGATATATGTAAAATATGTAACTTAATTTCAAGCACAAAGGTGTCTGATAATGTTATCTATTTTTATTATAATCAGATAGCGATTCTAAAATGCCTCGATGAAATGTATGGCTATTTCATGACGCTTAAATGAACTGACTTAATTTTTGCTAATATTTATGGCAGAAACCAAAATAAACAGAATCAACTAAAAAGATACAGTTTCTATTATTTTTTTTTTTCAGTTTCTATTATTTTAAAGTCTTTTCACAGGCAAGTGAATTCAATAACTTGGTCAATAAAACTTGTCACATTAAATTTGTAGTGGGATCACATTTGGGCTAATTATAATTTATAAGTTTGAATGTTACTGAAGCTTACTGTGAGTTTTGACAGGGTTGCAGAGGCTTTGAAATGGTATTAGACAGACTGATGAGTTGAATGAAAATATTTCAACTTTTTATCCCAGAGGTTAGAGTTATAAGTGCAGCTGGTTTAACTTGAGAGTATAAAACAAATATTGGCACTGATAATATCAATACTTATTTAAACAACTCTTGAATTTATGTATGACAGGATTTATGAACTGATTTTTCAGGAACAGCTCATTGACAATACTCCTCAGGCAGCAAGAATAAAGTAGTCACCTGAATTTGACCCTGGCTGTGGTATTAAAAATGAACACGTGTCCCTTTTGATTTTCTAACACTTACAGTGTTCACTTATGCCCAATCATAGAATCTCTGCCCTGTTCTTAAAAGCATACAGATCCCAAGTTCTAATAGTGCACGAGGGAGTTTGCTGTTCATCAAAGGCATTAGCCACTATATCCAGCAGTCACTGGGTTAAGTTCTTGAGCTGGTTTGAAGAATGCCAGAGTCTGGTGAGCAGCCTCTAATGGTCTAGCAGTCCTTCTGCTCCCGACGGGTGTGTTCTGTGTGCCAGCTGCCTCTCATTTCCACAGCAGACATCCCATATACGTCTGTGTTTACTAAGTGCTCTAATACCTTCGTCATCTAGAATTTATTTCTTTATTTCAGTCCTAGGTGTCCTCATGTGTTTGATGCATGTGTTGTTTGTTTTTTACTGGCGATAACTGGCTAGATTTTCTTCTTTCTAGTATTGGGTACCCTGTGGTGACTTTGGGCTTTGGCTTCAAAAGTTATGTAAGCTACAAAATGCGATTAAGGAAGCAGAAGGAAGTGCAAAAAGAGAACGAATTTTACATGCAGCTTCTTCAACAAGCTCTCCCCCCAGAGCAACAGATGCTACAGAAGCAGGAAAAAGAGGCCGAGGAAGGTAGGTCTTTACCCTGAAGTTGTGTTGGCTCAGTAGATGAGTCATTATTTTGTCTATCAGTAGAATTTTTTTTCCCCTGGCAAAGTGGGTAGGACTTTGGAAAATGACCAAGGATTTTCCTGTTTTCTAGTGTTCCCTTTCAGGGCCATTGCTTTGTTTGATCATGAAGTAACAGGGTGTGGGGGTTAACTACCTAGTGCCCAAAGACCATGTGCTTTAACTATGCTTATTTTATTTTATTTTTAAAGCTTATTTTATATTTTAATATTTTATCTGTTATAAATATTTAAAAACATTTATTCGCGGTAGCAATGTATATGTATAACTCTGTGAGCTTGTAATTGAGGCAGGCCAAGAACCAAAGTAGAAGCAAGATCGAGAGGTAGAAACAATTGTTTTATAAGTTAAAATTCTTCTGAATGGAGCAGAGGTGGGTAGGTCCCATTCTAAGTGGTTCATATGATGCAAGGTGGATCTTAAAGAGAGCTTTTTCTAACAGGATCTCTAATGGGCATAGATCCAATTCAGCAGATGGATTGACAGCAGGATTGGTTTTCTTTGATTTGAGGGTTGGAAGTTTAGAGTCATGTTTTTAGTTGATATATACCAAACTCTTATTCTCTGTATGGTGCAAAAATATCTCTTCAGGTAGACTTGGACAAACTGGAGTGTGTAGACCTCATACAGAAAATTCTCGTTGAGTGGTCTAATAAATGACACAGACTTCTTATTACCTTGATGCTCGATCAAGAAAAGGATAATGCCCTATATCCTAACATCGCACCTCTTCTTTTATGTAATCGCTGTCTTTTCAGTAAAGTTATTAACAGTTTGGTTAGCATCTCTTAAAATAAGGCCTCTTAAGAGTGACCGGCTTGTGTCCTCTTCATTCCAGTGATAAGCAAGTTGGATCTGACTGATAAGTATGATTTAATTATAAAATCCTCATCTTCTTTTCAAGGCCAGAACTGTAACAGCTTGGTGTTTATAAGCGATGGTGATTTTCTGAATGTGCAGCTTCTCAAATTTATCTGGATTTGCTTCTTGAAGTTAGCGAGATGTGGTGTGGTTATTGCTTCTCAATGAGTTTGCAAATTGATATAGTGAGTTTCTAACCATAGATAATGCAGTTTCTTGACTCAGTCTGTGCTGTGGTTTTATACAACTAAATATTCCGGTGTGGGTTTTTTGTTTGTTGGTTTGTTTTTGGTATTGTAGCAGCCAAAGGATTGCCTGATATGGATTCCTCGATCCTTATACACCACAACGGAGGTATCCCAGCCAACAAAAAACTCTCCACAACTTTGCCAGAGATAGAATACCGAGAAAAAGGGAAAGAAAAGGACAAGGATGCCAAAAAACACAACCTTGGAATAAATAACAACAATATTCTACAACCTGTAGACTCGAAAATACAAGAAATTGAGTATATGGAAAACCATATCAATAGTAAAAGATTGAATAATGATCTTGTGGGAAGTACAGAAAATCTCTTGAAAGAGGACTCATGCACTGCTTCCTCAAAAAATTACAAAAATGCCAGCGGAGTTGTGAACTCATCACCTCGCAGTCATAGCGCCACAAATGGGAGCATTCCTTCCTCATCTAGTAAAAACGAGAAGAAGCAAAAATGCACGAGCAAGAGCCCAAGTACACACAAGGACTTAATGGAAAACTGTATTCCTAATAACCAGCTAAGCAAACCAGATGCACTGGTAAGGTAAGTGTGTGCTGTGTCTTGACTGCCACTTTCCAGTAAAGCTGACTTAGGTCTTGAAAAGTAGATACTTCCATATGGGCCTGTAGGCCTTGTTTGTGATCAGATACTGTGACTGTTAACTCTGTGGGATTTGACTTTTTAGTGTTCGTTTCATGTTCATTTCACATGGCTTTGTTGGTCCCCTAGTGCCACTGTCCTGAGGCATTGACTCCAGCTCTTTCCAATGTTGGAAGTAAGAGGTGACAGTGATTTCATTGCATGTTGGACCAATTTACATGTAACTTGATTCCTCCTGTGGTGTTGAGAGACATACCTGTAGTCCTGGTCCTTTTCTGTTTGCATATCCAAAGTTCCTGTGGCACAGACACACAGTGAAGAGTCCATGTCCCGTGCATGCACGGCTCTTTGTCAGAAAGGTACAGAAGGTGGGGTGGGGGGGGTGTCGAGAAAGTTGTCCTTACCACCTTGTGCTTGTTTTTTGTTAACTCCACTTAAACTGTGGATTATCCTCCAGGTAATTGGGAAAATTAGGTTTGAAAAGTAATTTCTAAAAATCCAGTAGGTAAATACAACATTAGACTTAAATTTTAATCAGATGTGTTCCTTTCCCTCTTTAAGTAAAAGAATAACATTGTTGTATTACCTTGACTGGCCCAGCCTTAATTTTTCTCTGTTTTTTATGTTTTCTAAAATACACATATGTTCCTTTTACTTCGTATCTTTCAATCTGGAGACTGGGATCTGAACTGGAGCTTTTTTTATGTGTAATTCAAGAGGACAATTATAACTCCCTCCCTCTGCTAAGTTATCTTCTATCCCTTTTCCTTTGGCTTAATTAAGAGCAGACAATTTATCCTAGGAGGCAAGGTTTCCAGCATTATAAATTATATGAGCTAGATTATTAATTTGTCTTAATTTTCTGACTGGCGGCTAGATTAAGGGAAATATATTTGGGTTCTACCGCTAAAGGCTCTGGAGGTTTCTGGGCCCCCGGCCACTTGCAGAAGCGTCCCATGCAGTTGACGCTGCCAGGCCAACATCCACATGTGTTCGTTACGACATTCTGCGCATGATGGCCTGCAGAGAAAACACTCAGCAGCGGACCCTCTCCAGGCATCCATGGGAAAAAGACCAATTAGTTGACCTTCTATTTCAAAGGAAATATCCCACAAATTTACTATATACTATAAACAAAACATGTGCCCCAAACTTTTTAACATCCTTTCTCCTACACAGTTTTAATAATAGCAGTCAAGGCAAAACAGTTTTCCTCTGCTGGGTTTTACAGAGAGGGCAGACAAGGCTCAGTCTTGTGACAGCATCTCACGTGGGCCACAGTTGCAACATTGGTTGACTCTGCCCGATCTGCCTTTAGTAAAGAAGTTCAAGGACTCAGATGGCCAGTTTTCCCATGCACGGGTCAAGTGCCCCCATGCTCATTCTGGGTTGTAGGCCTCTTCTTGTGGTCACTAACGTGCACTCTGATGTGCCTTGATTGGAGGACCCCAGAAATTACTCTGTTTTGGGAATACCTGCTGTCAAATACATAAATAGAAAGTATTATATTTAAATAGTTTTATGGCTTGCATAGGATTATATTCAATTTCTAACATATTCAAAAAAATAAAGAGATGATATAAATATCTGACAATAGGGGAAAATTTTAAATAAAATATGGTCCAACCATTTGATGGACTTTTAATATAGACATTACCAAATCACATTTTTGAGCCATATTGAACAATACAGGGAAGGGCTCATGACGTAATAATGAAGAAAGTAGAAAGCAATTTTATCAAAAACATCTTTTTTTTCCCCTCATAGACACAGAAAAATAACTTGGAGGGAATGGAACTAAAATGATAACAATAGTTATTGCCTCATGATAGTATTGGGGCTTTAATTTTTCTTTTTACTTTCATGCATTTTCCAGTTTTTCTAAGATGAACGACAGTGCATGTTTATAAAAAGAAGAGTATGTGAGCAAATTATTCAGCGTGGTTGTAGGAGGCCTTATCAGTTCCTCTTGCCCTTCTTGGCTATCTCCCATTTCCTCCTGTTTGACTTCATGCGTGCTTTGATGGATATTAGTAAGACTATAACTGATCCAAACCTGACAGGTTGAGTTGTTAGCTAGAGAAAGGGGTTGTTATTTTAAGATGGAGAGGGGCTGGATGCAGCACCCCGGAAGGCTCCTGATGCAAACATACAGTGTGTACGTGAGCCGTGAGCCCTTCGCTACCGCAGACACGCCCAGGATTGTGTGCTGGCCAGGCTGGCTATTGGGAGAAGACTGATCTCCTGCTTCTTGTTTTATAAATGTTTTTTTAAAAAATCATTTGAAAAACCAGTCCTGTATTATTAATAGTAAATTAATTGCAAAACATTCTGTAGGTAGCATTCTACGGGTAATGTGGCTGGGAACTGCTACATTCAAGGTACCCATTCTGTGACTTTTGGTGGAAAAATTCATCAGTAACACTTTCAAAGAGAATTCTTTTAGATCAGTGTGGCTGTAAAAAGGTTTGACAGCCATTCCTTAAGAGGAGCAAGTAGACATTCAGGTCTTTTCTCCATCCCTCTGAGCCCCATCCATGCTCTCCAGGGTGTGTAGACCACAGGCTGGCAAGCTACTGCTCACAGGCCAAATCTGGCTCACTGCCTGTTTTTGTAAAAAATAGTTTTACTGGAATACAACCACGCTCATTCATTTATGTAGCGTCTGTGGCAGCCTTTTTTTTTTTTTTTTTAAGATCTATTTATTTATTTGAAAGAGAGAAAACACATGCGTGCAGGGCAGGGTGGGGAGGTGCCATGGGAGAGGGAGAGAGAGAATGTCAAGCCGACTCCCCACTGAGCTACGAGCCCGAAGTGGGGCTGGATCTCCTGATGCTGAGAGCATGACCTGAGCTGAAACCAAGAGGTGGAGGCTTACCCCCCCACCAGGCGCACCACATCTGTGGCTGCTTTTGTGTTACGGTGGTTGTTGAGTAGCAGCCACAGAGACGGTATGGGCTATAAAGGTGAAGATAGTCACTGTCTAGCCCTGCATGGAAAAAGGATGCTGATAGCCCGCTAAGTTTAGGGATGGTGGGGGAAGGTGGGACATTGGGAGTAAGTGTTTCCTTTAGGATCCTACCCAGGAAGAGATTGGGAACCTGTGAAAGCCAGTCCAAAGTCCCCTTTATGTTTGAAAAATACATCTTACAAGATGACCTGATTTCTGCCAGCTTGATTTTTGAGCTCTTTACCCAAGATGTTTAGAAACAGATGTGTAATGTAGGTAGCCAAAATATTTTTAATTCTGACCTGAGAAAAATTCTAGATAAAAACAGAAAAAGCAATGAAGAAGTTCACTTATTTTACTAAGTGCTGGGAATAATGTAAATTAGAATGAGATTTGTTTACATTTTTCTCTTCAGTGGTCAATTTTAAAACATTGTAAATATCAAAAAAATTACAGAAAATTTAGGCAGATGGGCGCCTGGGTGGCTCAGTGGTTTAAGCCTCTGCCTTCGGCTCAGGTCTTGATCTCAGGGTCCTGGGATCGAGTCCTACATCGGGCTCTCTGCTCATCAGGGAGCCTGCTTCCCTCTCTCTCTCTCTCTGCCTGCCTCTCTGCCTACTTGTGATCTCTCTCTGTCGAGTAAACAAATAAAATCTTTAAAAAAAAAAAAAAAGAAAGAAAATAAAATTTAGGCAGGGAAAAGGGGGAATGGTCCCACCACATGACACGAATCACTGTATGTTCTTTTCATCAACTACACTTATATAGCTGCGGCCATAGCATTTGTATAGTTTTTGTATCCAACTTTTTTCACTGAAATTATATTTGAGGGGTGCCTGGATGGCACAGTTGGTTAAGCATCTGACTCTTGGTTTTGGATCAGGTCCGAATTTGCAGCGAGTAAGGCTCCGTGCTCATGGTGGCGTCTGCTTCAAATTCTTTTCTCCCTTCCCCAGCCCCTCCCTGCTCGCACGCTCTCTCTCAAAGAAATAAAATCTTTTTTCTTTTTAAAGATTTTAATTTATTCATTTGTCAGAGAGAGAGAGAGTACAAGTAGCAGGGAGAGCAGCAGGCAGAGGGAGAAACAGGCTCCGCATGGAGCAAGGAGCCCGATGCAGGACTCGATACCAGGACCCCAGGACCATGACCTGAGCCGAAGGCAGACGCTTAACCAACTGAGCCACCCAGGCATCCCAGAAATAAATAAAATCTTTAAAAAAAATTATATCAAGCTCATTTTGCCAGCTTAGTATCACCCTCTTTTCCCTTGATGTGGAATAGTCCATGGCAGGTCTGTGAGATCCTTTAGCAGTCACTTGAAGATGGGCTGGGTCAGGGTGTCACTTGAGCCACTTTCCTGCAGTTTCAGGGCCCGCAAGCAAAAGAGATGACAGTTTTGTGTGCACTTGGCATTAAGCTCCCTCTCAAATACAGCCCGAGACTGGAGGGATTCTTTTTTTTTTTTTTTTTTTTAAGATTTTATTTATTTATTTGACAGACAGACATCACAAGTAGGCAGAGAGAGAGGGGGAAGCAGGCTTCCTGCTGAATGGAGAGCCTGATACAGGGCTCGATCCCAGGACCCTAGATCATGACCTGAGCCGAAGGCAGAGGCTTTAACCCACTGAGCCACCCAGTGCCCCTTGGAGGGATTCTTCTTGCTGACTGTTACTTGTTTTACTTTCCTGGTCAAGGAAGAGAATTTAAAACTGACTACAAGTTGTAAAGTGATCCATATTCTGTAGAAATGTTGAAACAAAAGTCTCTTTTTGGTTCTTTTCTAGTCTCCCCCCCCTTTTTTTTTTTTGGTCCCCAAGACAGAAGATTCATCTTTTTTATTTTTAGTGCTTGTTTTTTTCTTTTTTTTTTTTTTTTTTAATATTTTATTTATTTATTTGACAGACAGAGATCACAAGTAGGCAGAGAGGCAGGCAGAGAGAGAGAGGAGGAGGCAGGTTCCCTGCTGGGCAGAGAGCCCGATGTGGGGCTCGAT